TGGGGCCCCCCCCCCTTCGTTAATAACTAACATGCATATTAATTAGGCTGAGTTTGTCCCACCCCCAATTGACATTCAAATATGCAAATTATTCAAAAGACCTGTCCCTTATTATTGAAATATGCATATTGATTAGGTCACGATCGCCCTCGTTGCTGTTCACATCTCATGAATATTGATTAGCACCAAACCAGTTCATGAATATTCATGAGGAGCTGGTCTCTACCAATCATGGGCTGGGCCTGAGGATCATTAATATCAATTAAGCAGATGACTATGCACTGTCATGTGGTATAAGCGTTTGCATGTTAATGAGGGTGTCAGGCCCAGCCTCCAGCTCGGCCTCGCTCTCAGGTGCTGAAGCCCCGCCCCCGAGGGACGGCTCTGGGTTGGACCGTGATCAGTAGGTTTCAGAGTGAACCATGTAGCTGGGGGCAGCAACCTGCTCCTCTGGGACCTGCTCCCTGCCTAGGGTGGGTAGGTTTGAGGCTGGGGTGGATTGGTGGGGGCAGTAGGTTTGGGGATAGGGGTGAGGTTCAGTGGGGCAGCTTACGGGGACCAGTCCTTGCTGGGTTGGCTCTGATCTGTCTGTCTTTCTCAGATGTGGCACCCTAGGGGCGAGCAGAGACCCCAACCCCTCTGAGGATCCCCCCCAATCCAGGAATGGCTGTAAGTCTCCCCTCCTCCGCTGCCTCCCCCTCCTTGTGTCTCCCCCCAGGCTCTCTGACCTGCTCCCCCTCTCCTGTCTCTCCCTGTTGTAGACCCCCACGCCGGGCCCCCCCAGCTCCCTCCTTCTGCCCCTCCCAGCCATTGTCTTCATCACTGTGGCCGCCTACCTGCTCCTCCTCCTCCTCATCCTCGTGCTGCGCCACTGCCTGCTGGTAAGGGGGCACAGATAGGGGGACAGGGGTCTATACTGGGGGGCAGTGGGGAAGGATATGGTGGAGGGGGAGGCAGGGTGGATATGGGGGGGATATTCAGGGGTGTCACAGGTGGGGCAGGCCTAGGGGGTCAGAGCAGGGCTGGGCAGGTCAGCTGAGGGGAGGGGTGAGTTGGCCCTTCCATCTCTCACCCTCCCTCCACTCCCCAGGCCCATGGACTCTGCCCTGACTGTTGCTGGTGTGAGAAGGGGATGCTGGGGGGGCCCTGCCACTGCTGCCTGGCCTGCGCCGAGGCGTGCGACTGTGCCCCTCTCTCCCTCATCCGTTGCCTGGACACCTGTTGTCCCCGACGCCAGGTGAGTGACCCCCAAACCCTTTGGGGTACTGGCCCCATTACATATCCTGGGGCAGGCAGTCCTGTATATAAATGTTCTTGTGGTGGGTAGTCAGGGTTTACAACCCCCTAGTAAATAACCTGGGAGCGTCGTCCTGCGGATTAATACGGCCTTTAAATGTCTTGTGGCGGGTAGTCCTGTGGGCTACCAGCCACTGCTTAACATCAGGACTACCTGCCACATAATAGTCACTGTTTAATATCAAGGAGCGAGTAGTCCTGCAGGTTAACAGCCCCATTTTTTTTCTCTCTCTCTCTCTGCAGGGCTGGGAGCTCAGCACCTGCCCCCCTTTCCCTCGCTGCTGCCCCCTCTGTGACTGTGCCTGTGCCTACCAGCCCCCGGACTGTCAGAGCATCAATTGCATCTGCTTTGAGGTCAAACTGCTCTGAGGGGAGCCCCGCAAGAAAATCAGGGGACTCCCCCATTAGAGACTCTGACTGGCATGTACTCACTAATGCTGGATTGTGGGGATCCCCTGCTCCCCAAGTGGGGTGATCCCTTCCTCATTTTGTTACACGACCCCCAATATTTGTAACTCCAACTTTTATAATAAAGCAGCTTTGAGATACCTTGCCTTGTCTGTCTGCTCTTGGGTGTTGGTGGATCAGAACTGGTGCAGCCATGAAAACGTTCTGGCCATCAGACTTTCCGGACTGTCTACTGAATTCAGGCCAAATCAGGGAGACATTAGCCATCACAGCTATGCTTGGTCCAGTAACCGCTCCCCCTCAACTAGCCCTGGAGCCCCTCTGTGACGGGTTGGATCACAGAACCCCCCTTGGGAGCTGCCACCCGATGTGCCAAGACTACTTCTGCCCCTGCTTTCCTGCCCCATCAGCTTAGGACTTCAGTGCCCTGCCTGGTTTGAGCCAGACCCGCTAGCCTGCTGCAAACCCAGACCCAGGTCTGAACCACGTCCCCTAACAGCTGTAGGCTTGACTGAAAGCAGCTTACAGAAGTGTTCCTGTCTCTAACACTCAGATGCCCAACTCCCAATGGGGTCTAAACCCAAATAAATCCATTTTACCTGGTATAAAGCTTATACAGGGTAAACTCAGAAATTGTTCGCCCTCTATAACACTGATAGAGAGATATGCACAGCTGTTTGCCCCCCAAGGTATAAACACCTACTCTGTGTTAATTAACAAGTAAAAAGTGATTTTATTGAATACAGAAAGTAGGATTTAAGTGGTTCCAAGTAGTAATAGACAGAACAAAGTAACTCACCAAGCAAAATAAAATAAAATGTGCAAATCTATGTCTAATCAAACTGAATACAGATAATCTCACTAGTTCCAGAATGCTCCTTTTACAGACTAGTCTCCTTTTAGCCTGGGTCCAGCAATCACTCACACCCCCTGTAGTTATTGTCCTTTGTTCCAGTTTCTTTCAGGTATCTTTGGGGGTGGAGAGGCTCTCTCTTTAGCCAGCTGAAGACAAAATGGAAGGGTCTTCTCTGGGCTTAAACAGACTTTCTCTTGTGGGTGGAGACCCCCTCCTCACTCCTATGCAAAATCCAGCTACCAAATGGAGTTCTGGAGTCACCTGGGCAAGTCACATGTCCATGCATGACTCAGTTCCTTACCAGCCAAGCCACATTCCTGGGAAAATCCAGATGTGGATTGGTGTCTCCAAGTTCATTGTTGGCTTAAGGGTTTCTTGATTGGGCACTTACTGAGAATAGTCTTTTCTCAGGGAGCTGACCAACTGCTTCACTAAACCCTACTCCGAATCAAACAAGTATGCAGCCAATATTTATAACTTCGAATACAAAAATGAGACATGCATACAAATAGGATGAATAGATTCAGTAGATCATAACCTTTACAGAGATATGTTACATGGCATATGTAGCATAAAACACATTCTAGTTATGTTCTATATATACACCCATAAGCATATTTCTATAAAGCCTTATGGGTGGCAACGTCACACCCTCAATTGGGGGTCCCTGCCCCCCAGCTTCACAACCCCACTATCCCTGTTTTGGGGTGTCTACGCCTGCAGTGCTCAGCTGAGAAGCAAGGGACGGCGTTCCCAGTCTAGATAAGGCAGCTGAAATGAAACCTCACACTGCTGTTAACTCCGAACCTTACTGATGACACTGTCCAGCTCCAGGCTAAGGCAGCCCGTTTGTGGGAAAAAATTATAGGTGATGGGGATGAGTGCCCACTGCATTCCAGGGCAGAACTGTCCTGAAACAGTAGCTCATCTCTTGTTAACTCTGAACCCTACTGCTGACCTCCATTAAGAGCAGATCTTTTAGAAAAACACCCCATCTTGATTTAAAAAATTGCCAGGGCTGGAGAATCCACCACGACCCTTGGGGAGTTGTTCCAGTGGTTAAGTCCCCTCACTGTTACAAATTCATTCCAGTCTGAATTTGTCTAACTTCAGCTGCCAGCCACTCGATGGTGATAGGCCTTTCTCTCCTGGATTGAAGAGCCTGTTATTAAATCTCTGTTCCCCATGTAAGTACTTATAGACTGGGATCAAGTCACCCCTTCACCTTCTCTTTGTTAAGCTAAATAGCTGGAGCTCCTTGACACTACCTGTAAGGAGGTGGTCTGATCCTTTAATTATTCTTGTGGCTCTTCTCTGAGCCCTCCCCAACTGAGCAACATCCTCCTTGAATTGTGGCACCAGAACTGGACACAGGATTCCAGCAGCAGCCGCACCAGGACTACAGACCAAGGGAAAAATCACCTCTCTGCTCCTGCTCAAGATTCCCTTGTTTATTAAAGCTGCAGCGTGTGTCTCACTGCTTTATTCCTAGTGTGACTATTATCACTGCGTTATTGTGTATTTATTTTATTCATAGTAGTTTGGGGTTTATTATTTCATTCACTTTGCGTTTATAACAGTTGGTGTATTTGAATTTGTTTTATTTTGATATTACCGATTGATATTGGAGTATATTAGTCTGTTCAGTCTGTAGCCAATTCATTATTTATTAGTACTGAGGATTTATTGTGTCATTGCCAATTTCCTTTTTGAATCTCAGAAGCTAGGGTCATTAAAGAATTGGCTGTACCCCCCATCATTTCCTGCAACTGAAAATTTAAATTAATAAACACTGAAAAAATGCTTAAAAATGAACATTAGTATTATCCATCCAAATGATAAATCTAAGTCTACCAAGGTTGGGGATAGTGTATTTTTTATATGTGCTGTTTTATTCCTACTCAACTTTTTATAAGTGTTTTGGTAGATATATTTATTTTTATTGTATTCCTAATTTACCTTTTCTTTTAGTCACTGTGTAGTTACTGAGTTGAGTTCTTAGCAGAGTTCCTTGTTGGATTTCGAATGGCAATCGCAGTCCCGTTCGATGATGGATTTGATTAGTAAAGTGCTTATGGGTGATTTAGGTGTTTCTAATCCATTAGGGGGTTTATTGGCATCGTTCATTCCAACAGAGTTGAATCTAAATCTAGGCATAAAAATCAACTATTATTATTACAACATAATCCAGTCCGGGCTCTGGCAGGAACTGGAGAGACCCCCCACTCCCATCCCAGAGCCAGGGAGAGAACCCAGGCGTCCGAGCTCCAGCCCCCCCTGCTCTATCCCACCAGCCCCCACTCCCATCCCAGAGCCAGGGAGAGAACCCAGGCGTCCGAGCTCCAGCCCCCCCTGCTCTATCCCACCAGCCCCCACTCCCATCCCAGAGCCAGGGAGAGAACCCAGGCGTCCGAGCTCCAG